TGTTCTGTAATGGGGAGGGAAGGGGACATCTCCTGTTGTATAATAATTGTCCAGTTTAGAGACCAACAGGGAAGAGCCAAGGGAGTGTATGAAATATATGCACATCCATTTTCCTTTGAATTACTTTCCCAGACATCAGAAGAACTTCCTTCATGGGGCATGTTAACACTGAAATTACCCAAAAAAGTTACTTTGTTATCTTATTCATGTCCTTCTACTTGATCATTCATTTTTTCCTTTTAGTTATTCAACATACAAGATGTACTTATTTATCCATAGGGTGTGATGACCAAAAAGAATTGTCTCAGTTACTGTTCTATTGCTGTGTGGAGACACCATGACCAAGGCAAGTTAAAGGGGAAGACATTTGATCAGGAGCTTGCTTACAGTTTTGAGGGTTAGTCCATGTCATCATGTGGTGAGAAGCAGACAGGCATGGCACTGGAGCAGTAGCTCAGAGTTTTACATCCTAATCTCTAGGCAGTAGGAGAGAGAGAGAGAGAGAGAGAGAGAGAGAGAGAGAGAGAGAGAGAGAGAGAGAGAGAGTCTGGTATGGGCTTTTGAAATCTTAAAGCTCATCCTTTGTGACATACCTTCAACAAGGCCACACCTCTTAAACCTTCCTAAACAGTCCACCAACTGAGAACCAAATAAGTATTCAAATATATGAACCTAAGGGGCCAGTCTCATTCAAACCACTGCAAGAACCATACATGACTTCTTTAGCTTTCGGGAAACTTGCAGTTTAGAGGGCCCCCTGGGGTAGACCTGGAAGCACAGGGACTTGAGAGGAAACCTGTGTATTGACCTTGACTTTGGAGCTCCTTAGTGTGTTCATTCATGTCCTAGAGTCCTTACTGTATTCATAGTATTGCATTCAAGAAGCGAGGATAAGCAGAATAGTTCTTGCCTTCACAACAAATAAATTTACATCTAGGCTTCTGAAGACCTCCTTATTGCTCATTTACTTTAACTGTGGTTTATGGGTGGGTGAGCAGGGAGATGTTGACCAGATGGTATGTAAGGTCCTCTACAAATTTAATGTTTTAGAACAAAAGGATTCAAGATTTTGGGGATGAGTTTCATTATAAATGAATCCAAGTTTCATTCTGATTCTTCGTTAACTTTGAGATCCTCTAAAAATTAATTACAGAAGTTCCCCATCTCCCACACCCATTACAGAATACATTATCTCAAATCTTGTCAAAAGATTACGGTGGCTTTGTTCTAGGGGCTGTCAGTCAGTTTTCAAACATTGGTACTATCCAAGGGGATTTCTGGACCTTGAAGGACGTGACATGGGACACTGTCATAGAATGAAAGAGCCGGTTGTCCATGCTAGGAATGCGGTTTGAGTGGCTGTGGGAACAAACTTTCTGTGTAACTGAGATCTCAGCCCCCAAGTGTGTCAAAGTGACTTTTCTGACACAGTCCATGTCGCTTGGCTCCCTCCTGACGTCTGTTTTTCTTGTTCTCAGGAGAAGAAATGGCCTAAACATCCTTGCAGGCCAACAGTTGAAAAAATATTTGTTTTGGTTTGTTGAGCACTTTCCCTATTAAAACATGAAGATTTTTTGAGGAGAAGGGAGATCACCATTGTGTGCGTTTGATTCATTTATGCTTAGCAAATCAATTGTTTCTAGGAGAGACATTATGTTCGAGAAGGCTATAGAAGGCTTTACTGCCCCTTTCCTTTCAAACAGGAAGTTGCATTTGGTCACAAGTAAACAAATGTGAACTCTGGAAGGTTTGTTTAGTTTCTAATGCTGACTTCAGGACCTGAGAACAGAGTCTGTACTTGGCAAAAAAAAAAAAAAAAAAAAAGCCTTCTCCAGGATCTATCTAGGCCAAAATATTCTGTGCTGAGGACCTGGCCTCTGTGCTCTGGTAAACATCCTCCTCTGACCAGCTCCCAGAAATCCACTGCCAAAGCTCCTCTGCAGCTTTGCTTGCTTATCGGGAACATTCTAATGCTTATGGCAACTTGGAAACACGCTTTTAGTGGGACAGAGCTTCCTGGAGGGTGGCCACTGGTGGAAAAAGCCTGAGGTTTGGAAATCTCAGGGAAGGGGAATGCAATTTTGGGTTCTTTGTACTGGGCATGGCTTAGCCCCTCTTTCCCACATGACTGCCTTGTGAAGAAACTCCTGGGAGACTGACTGTTACTACCCAACCGGTATAATGAGGTTCAGTCCTTCCTAAGACTGAGCTTATGAAATCCTCACACAAGCCCTAGGAGGAAGGTGCTACTAAGGCTTAGGAAGGGTAAGGGCCTTGCCTCCCATCGATATGACCTAGCCACAAAACAAAGCCCTCTCCTTTCTCAGCACCTGGTTTGGAGAGTTAAATGAGCTCAAGATCAGTGTTTGAACTCCAGCATGTTACAGAAATGTTTGGAGGAGACCCACACCATATCACATTAATGTATGATAATTTACTATTGTAGTTCAAAGCAGTGGGCATGTAAGATTTAGTTTGTAATGAATATGCTTAATATTAGATGTCTGGTTCTAGGAGCCATTTAAGAAAGCTGAGAGAAACCCAGGTTGAGTGTGAGTAGGAAGAGATGCCCTAAGAGAATATGGGGTGACTCTTGGGAAGCTACTTTGGTTGGGGTGCGAAGGAGTGAGAATTACATAAAGAACATTTCAGACTTGGGGAGTGAGAATCAGCTCTCTTTCTACAGAGGTTTCACTAGAAGACATATGAAGACATTCTAAGCATACACAGATCTTCCATGGACGATGACACTGTGCTCTCTGATTATTATAAACCTAAGAGTTATTTGAAGAACTTAAACATACAAAGAAACATCTGGCCTGGGTATAACCTTCACTGGGAGACACTGGTGAAATTAGTAAATACTGAACCCCAAATCCCGCTGTTTACTCTTCCCTCTCAGTCAGTTTCTAAGCATTTCCTCTAGTCTTACTATTCCTTCCACGTATCACTGCTTAGGGGCATCTGTCAACTCTGCTTACACACAGGCTTACTAACCTCCACTACTGCTCTGTTAGAGCACCTAGGTTAAGCCCATTTCATAGATAAGAACAATGATACTGTAGGTTAATTGCTTTAGCCAAATTATACAACACACTGGTAGAGAAAACCTGTCTCGTAGCCACTCCACCAAATAGCCCTTTAGAATAGAACAGGACTTCCCAAAGAGTTTTAAGCCAGTATTCTTGACTTGTTTAAAATCCTTACGACATGTTAACAGCTTTAAGTCCTGTGGTGATAAAGGAGACCTGAACACCTGGCTGCATTTCTTTTGTTCAGCCTAACAGGGACCCAGACCTCTGGCTTCCTTATGGAACCCTTCAGCCCCTGCTTTGAAGTGTCTCTGTTTTGCTCATTGAGGAGAAAAGATCAGCATCTCTCATGCAAGGCCTGGCTCTGGGCCCATCTCACTCTTGCAATGAATTTAGCAACATCTGCTTTGCCCATTAAAGTGATTTTTCTCTTCCTGGCCCCGAGCCTGTACGCTTGCTGCAATTGATTACTGGCAATTTCCTTCTCCAACCAGAGGATTCGGTGAACTCTAAATTGAATTGTTGCTCACTTGTCTCCTTTAGTCCAATGTATACGGCTAACGTGCAAAATGCTCAAGCCACTTAGTTCCTGAATCTATAGGCTGATGATTCTGGCTAAGCACAGGGGAGGGCCTGTCAAGTGACAGTTCCCATTTTTGAGCATAGCTGCCCAGGGCTGTGGTCACCTCTGGGTTTCTCAATTCACACCTAGGAAGGGGGAAGTAGGTGGGGGAGTCACCTTGCTTACAGCTAGGCTGCTGAAGTGTACAAACTCTCCCTTCTGAAGTCAGGTTGCAAGCACCATGGACTCAGGATAGTAGCTGACTGGTACCCTTACTAGGAGATACTTTAAAAATCAAAGTTTTAGTTCTAGAAGTACCTTCAGGAAGATGGGAGTGATTGTGCTCCTTTGAAAACAGCAGGGTCACCCTGTACGATTAAGTAATTTTCCTCTTTATCAAAGCAAAGCTGAAGGTGAATACCTGGCCCACGGCTCTATCACTTCTCTGATTGATTGGCAGGTTTCTAGTTTGCGATTTGGGTGGGCTGACTTCCAGAAAGCCCGCCTCTCTCTTTCACCTCTCTGTTCCTAACACTCCACACAGTGCCGACACAGTGAACATACACAGTTTGCCCCCCCCCCCCCCCCCCCCCCAGGGCAAGAATGGGTGAGTGGTGAGAAATGCAGCTTGGGAGACGGCATCTTGACATCTTCGGTCCCCAGAGCTTTGCTGATGTGTTCTCTCCTCCCTGGAGAGCTGAAATGGCTTCATATGAAGATGAAGATTTATTGGTTATTTAGAGAAGTGGCACTCACGAGTCTCCTCAACCACGCAGGAGGAAAAAAAAAAATCAAAGGAACTAACCAAATGACTGCTGTTCATTAGAGCGGTTAAAGTTAGGTGTCTAAAAATAAGTCAAAAGGCAGCGTGAATGATTAAGTCTAGTAACAGTGGGGATAGCTGGAGACCATTTGAGTCACTGCATTCTCTGTTTCTTTGAGAGCACAGCCCCCCTTTTTCACCACAGTGGCTCAGGGCAAACCCATGGTATGGGCAGACTCTTCTGAAACGGTGATTGACAATAAGGTTGCTCATTGCTAGACCAACATCGTCGGGATTAAGTTTGAGGCTCTGTGCCTCAACTTTCTGGAAGAGATCTCCCGTATTGAATTATGACCGTGAGAAATATTAGCAAAGGCAGAAAGAGCGGCTTGGCTTGAATCGGAGGGCCAGACCTCTTAACCGATTAGGCTGTGAGCTGAACTCCCAAAGTGAAAGTGTTAAGGATTCCTGGGGCTTTGGGGATTCTAGGAAGGTCTTATTTTTAATTTAATCTCTGAACATTGACAGGTGGCTCCTTAGGCCTACTGCTGAACCGGGCTGCTGAATCACGGGGCCGGGGTGGGGTGGGGTGGGGTGGGGGGGTGGGGGCACAGGATGACTTGCACTTAAGGAAGAGGCACCCCACACTTCCTCCAGCTGTGAGAACCTAGCAGAGAAAAGACTAGGAAACTGGCCCAGCTGTCTGCCCCGGGTTTTCACCATGCACTTACAGGTCTGAATACTCGGAGTGCTCTCCCCTCCCCCTCCCCGTGACGGAGTGAGACCTGGCGCTGCTGAGTCACGTTGTTTCGCTTCTGCTGCCCACCACCAGAGCAGCTGGGATGTGGAGTGCACTCTTCCCCTTTCCAGGGTTTCTGGCAGAAGTGGAACAGGACTTTTCCAGAGGACGGGATCACTCCGAGACTCAACTCTTCAGGTCGGGGCAAAGTCTAAAATTCCAGGTGCGATAAAGCTTTGGGGTTGGGCATTGCTCTACAGCTCACCCAGAGCTAACCCCACCTTTTCCCTTCAGAATGCTACCGCCAGTCACCAAAATGACAGTTTACCTTAAGCAAATGCTGACATACAGCAGGCCCTGTATAGGTGCGGCGCTAGATCCCCAGACAGCTTCATGAGGCAGGCTTTATATCTTTCTTTTACTAATGAAGAAACCAGCGCTCCTAAAATTGATTTTCTTCTAGGCAAGGATTATTGAGCATATTGGGCATTGTGTGGGCAATGCTGTGGATACAATGGGAAATGAGATAAACACAGCCCTTCCTGTAGGGAGCTGGCATTCGGCTACTAATTGTGGCAGCAGCGTCAAGACTGGAGCGTTGGTTGGCCTGACTCTATAGCTTATCTAGACTCTATGTACAATTCCTTATGATCTAAGATACCTCCTGGGGGCATGCTGGAAACTCAGCCTGCTCAGAACAAACACTCACTGAGTAGGTGGGAGATGAGCTAGGTTGACCCTTGAAATGTTAGACTCCTGTGAGAGGTAAACTCACACTGGCCGGCACTAGGGTTGTCTTCTGCCACACCCTCAGCTGTCCCCGAATAAGTCTGTGTTTGGATATCAGAGAACCAGCAGTCACATTCTGGTTTTCTTCTGCCCGAGAATGGTGTCCCCAGCCTCGCTGTGAAAGCACAGCGTGTACTGTGGTAGGCAGAGGAAGTCTCTGAGCTCTTTATATGTAGTGGCTTTAATTCTTTTCTCTCAATTTTCACACGCCCCTGCACTTCCTGCTCTTTCCTGAGCCTGGAAGCGGAAGTACTGAAGTCCTGAGACAAACTGTTCTTATGGTTTTTAGAGGCTGGCTGAAACCAGAAAGGCCAAGGCTTCAGAAAACCAAGCCTTTCTGGATTCTCTGTCCAGGAGACAGGGCTGGGGGCTGAGAGCCTTCACATTTCTACTCCTTTGGCTGGTCTGGGCTCAGCAAGGCCAATTTGATTGGAGCTTCAGCTTCTCTGTTCAACCACAGATAGATTACTGTCTTTCATTTCCTGTTTGTAACTGAATGGAGGGGTCACTAATGAGAGTCAGTACTGAGATTGAGTTCTTGATTAGCGTTTGATTGTACACTGATTTGCTCACTCAACAGATACTTATCAAACACCTATTATATCCTTCATGAAGAACCCATATGAAGCTTACATTTCCAAAGAGACAAGCCTGTGTGAAAAAAAAAAAATACGTTTCATGATAGAAGAGGAAATTTCTGTGGTGCTTTTGGTTGGATGGGGGAGACACTGCTGTTTCAACAGGATTGTCAGGAAGAAGGCCATGTTGAAGAGATCTGAAGGCGCTGAGGGAGCAAGCTGGTAGGTGGGAGGCAGAGGGTTCTAGGCAGAGAACACACCAAGTGCAAGTGTCCTGAGGCTGGAGCTCCAGTGTGCCTAGAACAGCAAGGCAGCCAGTGGGCTTGGAGCACAGTCAGCAAGGGTCAGGGAGGAAGGCGACCATCAGAGGGGAAATGGGGTCAGATGTGCCCTAAAGACTTGAGAACACAGGAAGTCTTTCGGGCTGTTCTGGGAGTGAACTGGGGAGCCTCTGGATGGTTTTGAGCTGAGGGGAGATGTGACCTGGTAGTCGCTAACTGCTTTAGCTATTTTTGCAGAAGCAGAAGGGACCTCCAACTGACCTGCCTACGCATGAGGAGCAAGGGATGATGGATGCCAGATGTGATGGCGCCCTCTTCCCATCCATGGCAAGGTGTTGCTCTCATTTATTTCAGCTGAGGCAGAGGGGGCTCTGACAGGGTTAGTGACTATCAGCCCAACAAGCTGCCAGAGGAGGAGGTAGCAGGCATAGTTCTAGAAAGTTCATGCAATGTTCCTTCTCCAGGTTCAAGGAAAGAATCTGTCCTTTGCTTTCCCCGGCATTCTGCAACTGCTTGCCCTTCTCATCTTCAAAGTCAGTAATAGCCTGTTTCTCTCACTCCTCTTCTCTTTGTCAGTCTCTCTCTCAGTTGGAGAGGAGTCTACTCTGAAAGGGTTCCTGTGGTCAAGTTGGACCTATCCAGATGGTCCAGAATGAACGCTTCTCAAAGTTCCTCTGTGCGTCAGGCAACATAGTCACAGGTTCTGGAACATGTATGCACCTTCAGAGGGATTATTATGCCTAACACAATTCTTGAGCACTCCATGATCACTTTAAGTAACATGACAACCTAAGGAGGAGAACATTGTTCTAGTTTTGGGCCCAAGATTAAATAGTGCCTATCAGAGAAGTTGGAAAAAGCCAGGACAGCTAAAGTTAAACCAGTCTTAGCTGGATTCAATGCAATGAATTAAGGACTATGTTAAGTCCTCAAAAAGTGTAGCTGTGGGAAGAGGCTAGGGAGTAGACTGCGCAGGTATTGAATATAGCACCTCATCTGTGCACGGTAAGGTCTTTCAATGGAATTTTGAGGATTTTCACAAATAATGTACTTTGACTCATGCTGGCCTTGACTCTAAGCCTTCCACAGAGTGAGTTTAACAGTTGCTTATCTTTAGACCTTGGAGTCCCAGCAAAGTGTCTCACCTACAATGAAGGCTAAAGAAATATTTCCACCATGAGCTGAATTTCTCCATTCTTCAGGCCTTACTTCAGGAGCTTTAAAACATTCTTGGTGCCCTTGTGATATTTGTTGTATCAGTTATGGATTTGGTTGTACATCATTCCTGTGCCTTGCTCGGATGGATGGAACACCCAGAACAATCCCTTATAATATTTCCAGGACTTGGCACAAGATAATATCGCTCTTAGAACTTGGCAATAACTCTATAAGGTAGGATTTATCAGCTCATACTATAACAAAGAATGAACCCAGAGAAACGTTAGCTCCTCTGATGTTATATGGCTGCTTCTGGTGGCATCTTAGTTGAAAAGTAGGGATTCAGAGAGAATTCCTACTTCCATTGGTTTCTTGGGGAAGTTAGGATACTTTACTACCAATCCACTGGTAGTAGTAGAAATTTGTTCAAGAGGCCCAAAGTCTGATACCAACTTCGAGAAGACATTCCCAAGTCCCTCTGGAGCCTTAGATGATGTTCATGCCTTGCCTCTTCCAGTTTCTGTTGGTTGCTGGTATCCATGTCTTATGGCTTAATAAGCTAAAAGCTATCTTCAAGGCCAGCATCTTCAGATCTCTTCAGGCTAGAGTTCTGGTTTCATCTTTGTTACTATGATAAACCATAGAGACTAAAGCAATTTAGGGGACAAAAAGGCTTATTTGACTTATACTTCACAGTCACCATCCATCCTTGAGAGAAATTAGGGCAGGGATTTGAGCAAGAACTTGAAGAATTAAATATGGAGGAATGCTGCTTGCTGTCTTGCTTGCAGGCTTGTGCTTAGCTGGTTTTCTTATATAGCCCAGGACCACCTGCCTAGGGATGGTGCTGCCCATAGTGGCCTGGGTCCTTCAACATCAATTACTAATCAGAACAACCCACCACAGATTTGTCCACAGGCTAATCTGATCTAGGCATTTCCTCAGCTGAAGCTTTTCCTTCAGATGACTCTAGGCTGTGTTTGCTGACAAATTAAAGCTAGCTAGAACAGCTAGGTTTTTGTATTGATTTTCCCCTATATCTCCTCAGCTTTGTTGGTGTCAAATGTTTCTTGAATAAGGACAAGCATGATGGCATTTAGGACTCACTTGAATAATCCAGGATAAACATCACATCTCAGTATTCTTAATGTGCCCACATTTGCAAAGATCCTTTTTGTCCAGAATAAGGTCATACCTATGAATTCCAGGAGTTATATGATCAGATATATTTTAGAGGCCATTTCTCAGGCTTCTGCAATGCGTAATGTTCTTAACAACAACAGTAACAACATAGCCTTCTATCTTGATGTTATGTCGCTGCTTATGGGAGTAATTTAAGTACCTATTATAAAGTTCCTTACTAAAAAACTCTTAATTGTACAATTGTACCATTGGTGTTTGGTATTGGTTTTTCTTCTGTCCCTAAATTTGCATGTGTAAATAACACAAGGATCATTCACCTGGCCACCTCTGGTCACTCCTGGTTTCCTCTTTGGGCCAAGTCTGGCCTTTGTGAGGCCAGTGTGGATGCCTAAGGCACGTTTTTGCATCACACTACTTGCAAGTGTTCCCTCTGCCCAGGAGCCTCAGCATGTCTGAGAAGCCAGAGAGCTGAAGTTATCTGCTTACCCTGGGAGTTTCCTGTCTCTCTCCCAGTCTAAATTAATTCCCAGGTCTTAAAGAATCTCCCCCCAGTGTAATCACTTTGATTCCCCAAATTTACACTTGTATTATACTTTCATTAGGGAGTCACAGTAACTAGGGCCTTGGTGGAGATAACCTTCACCTCATTTCCAGGCTCTAGTGCAGGCAGCTTCGCTCATCTTTTAAGCTCTTCATTGCCCCCCATCCCCCACTCCCCCACCCCCACCCCAACACCCTGCCATTTCCATTACTTTAAGTAGAATATATTCAGTCTGCTCTTTGGTGCTGGTAACATTATTGTTGCTGAATACCCGATTCTCGCTGGCACCCTCTGGGGTTTCTGGAGTTTTGTGTCCCCCCCGGGGGGGGGGGGTAATCAGACAAAGACATATGGCTAGTAGCAGAGCCAGAGCCAGTTTATTAAGAGTGTACTTGCAAGAGAGGAAGTAGGCCAGAGCTGGGAGAAAGGTTAGTGCTCAGCAGCGCACCTGCCTAGCACACCCTTTTCGTGTGCATGTGTTAGCTGTTCTATGTCGGCTGTGGAGGAGGAGGCTCAAGTGTTCTTCTCTGCTGCCAGGCTCCTCTTCTATGCTAATTTTGACCTCACTCTCTGCCTTACTCTCTGGCCACACTCTGAACTCCCTAATCATCTGCTTGAGCTGCCTTCTATGCCCCAGCTGAATCAACAGAAGGGACTCTCTCCCCTCTTGTCTCTTCCTGGTCCCTCTATCCTGTCGCTCAAGCACTCATCCCTCTCTGGAATGTTTCATATT